CTTTTTCTGGACTTTGTGTCTCAGTCTAGTCAGGTAACATTTGAATTACAGAATCAAAGCTTGTATAAGTATTTTAGGTTAGCAATTTAGGTTTTATCATAGATTCAGGTGGGTAGCCATGTTGGTCTGAAGCAGCAAAACTAAGTTTGAGTCCAACGGCACCTTTAAGACAAGCACAGTTTTATTTAAGGTGTAAGCAAGCACACTTCCTCAGACAAATTGAAACAAAATTTCTTCAAGCCTTACATACAGGAAGATGGGGTCGTGGTGGTGGTGGTGGTGGAAGCATCAGGAAGGACCAGTCAGACTTAAGATGCATAAGTGAAGCTGAAATCGGATCAAGGCGGCAAGATCAGTGAACGGCAGCAAATGCGAGAGCTAACAAACAGATGTGAGATCGAAGCCTGAGTCCAGTGGCATCCCCAAGACCAACCAAGCTCAACCCTGGGTACATGTGAGAACAGAGATTCTGCACATGTAGATGCACACTTCTTCAAATATATAGAAACAGAAATATATAGAACCCCCCCCTACCTGTATGTAATATTTGAGGAAATCTGTTTCTATATATTTGAAGTGTGCATCCACACATGTGTTACCCCTACAAGCTCAGATTTAAGAAGCTGAATCACTGCCTTCAGTTTCTTGGGGAATTTGGCTAAAGGGCAGACCTCATTGAGACGTGGGGTATTAGCGACGGTCTACTACTTATGTTTACAGAGATCTTTCCAGTCCGTTGCTCTTAATAACCAATCCATTGCTTTAACCAAAAGTGTTGTTTTTATTAAAAAGAAGAAAGTCCTAATAAAATGCACACATACAGAAATAAAACCCATGTTAACTCAAGCACACAGATAATGGAAGTACAGAGTGGGAATAATAGGGGGGGGGATATACTTTACCTATCCAAGAGATCAGGAGTCCATGGAGCAGAGACTGTGAATTTGGGGGTGACCTGTCAGTAGGCAACCAGGATAGATGCACCTCAATGGAGCTGGGGCTGACTAGTTATAGAAAAAATGGGATCTGAGGGCATGCTATTGTACCTGCCCCTTGAAACAATGTGCTGAAGGGATTAACTGGGACCAGAACAATGTGCAAGGGAATCTCTGAGTAGTGTTCCCAGGAGAAGACAAAGATGTTTTCATATTTTGAATCTGTGTGGATGAATGGATTTCCTGGCGCCAACAGGAACTGTTAATGTTTCTGTTGGAATGTGGCTAGCAATGTGAGAAGTTAACGATCCACTGATGCTCCCTGATTGCTGGAGAGAAAAGGCTATCCAGTTGTGTGATTAGGGTGAGTTGACCAGGAAGGGAGGAACCAGGTGTGCAGGGCTCTTTTTGTAGAAAAAGCCCAGCAGGAACTCATTAGCATAATAGGCCACACCCGACAGCAGGAACTCATTAGCATATTAGGCCACACCCCCGACAGCACAGCTCATTAGCACATTAGGCCGCACCCACATGTTACCAGAAGTGTGGTTATCCAGCCACACCCACCTTTTGCTTGTGATTCTGTTTACCCTGTTTGTTGTCAAAACCCAGGGCTTTTTTTGTAGCAGGAACTCCTTTGCATGTTAGGCCACGCACCCCTAATGTAGCCAATCCTAATGAGTTTCTGCTGTTGGATGTGGCCTATTATGCTAATGAGTTCCTGCTGGGTGTGGCCAACTTGGGAGCCAGCTGGAACTCCGTTCCTGTGCGTTCCTGCCCAAAAATAGCCCTGGGTGTTGGAATCTTGCATTGGGGAGGAGATCTTCTTTCCTGTGGGTTCCCTTATGTAGAGAGATATCTCTTTGTTTTGGATGGAGGGAAAACTTTTAGTTAAAGCCACCTCCCCAACGTACCGAGTTCAGACTTGTTTTTTGCTGCTAGGAACCATTTTGTTTGGCTCTGTTCCATCTTGTTTTGTTGTACGTTTCTAGACTACAATCTGGCCTATTTCTAGGCCAGACATGACTAGTATGCATACACAGAGGGCATTGGGGGGTGAAAGATGACGAGGAGCATTTTCTGCCAGATGCTCCCCTTTGCAGAGAGGCACACAGGGGGCCTTCCACATGCAGAGCCTCTCTGTTCTCCCACGTACCCAGGGCTGAGCTTGGTTGGTCTTGGGGGTGCCACTGGACTCAGGCTTCGCTCTCACATTTGTTTGTTAGCTCTCGCATTTGTGTGCTAATTTGCTGCCATTCATGGATCTTGCCGCCTTGATCCAATCTCAGCTTCACTGATGCATCTTAAGTCTGACTGGTCCTTCCTGATGCTCCCCCCCCCCATTCCTGTATGTAAGGCTTGAAGAAATTTTGTTTCTGTTTGTCTGAGGAAGTGTGCTTGCACACAAAAGCTTACACCTTAAATAAAACTTTGTTGGTCTTAAAGGTGCCATTGGACTCAAACTTTGTTCAAGATTTTATTATGTTTTCATTGCTTTGCACATGCTCTTACATTGTAACCTTTTTGCGCATTTCTTTTATTAAACCTTATTAATTATATTCCTTTAGTGTTGTTTGGGTTTGGGGGCTTCAATCTAAATCCAGTAGTTTGGCCTACATTGGCTACAGCTACCAAAGTAGTTGTGTTTGGAACTCAACCTGCAAGTGTCCTACTACCTCGCAAAGCAGACTTCTTAATTAACACCCAATGGGCCAAGAGACTTGGTTGCTCAGTCTCTTGGCAGAAGGGTTAGTGAGAAGACCTGCTAATAGCCGGTTACCCTGGGCAGTGGGGATGCACTCCCCAGCACTTTTGTGTTTTGTTTTGCCTGAGCTGCCACCTTTAGCGGCCGACAGTGTCATCTAGCCGAGAGATGTGTCATCCCATTGATTTCAGTTGGAGACATTCAAGCAGTGCTTAACTCCGCTATTGAATTAATGGGAGATAAAAGGTATTTTAACTGCAGCTGTATTGTGTCCTTGTCTATTTTAAAATATGTTTCTTTACACAGGAAGCATAGCCTCATACCAAGCTCCAAACGCTCCTCTTCGACTCTTGATTTTGTCTGTTGGTGTTTCTTCCTCCTTGGTGGTCCAGACAGTAATGTGGTGGTCTGGGAACAGTTTGCAAAGGTATTGTGTACAGAAGTGAAACTTGCATTATATGCATTACTGTAAAGAAAAAAAGCAAATTGTCTTCTTTGATATGGTCAGAACCAGACAAGATGCTTTTGTCAGAGCATAGAGAGCCAGTTTGGTGTAGTGGTTAAGTGTGCGGACTCTAATCTGGAAGAACCGGATTTGATTCCCCACTCCTCCACTTGCACCTGGCTTGTTGACCTGGGGCAAGCCATAACTCTGGCACAGCTGTTCTCGAAAAAGCCGTTTCTGCAAAGAGCTCTCTCAGCCCCACCTACCTCACAGGGTGTCTGTTGTGAGGAGGGGAAGGGAAAGGAGTTTGTAAGCCGCTCTGAGACACCTTTGGGTAGTGAAGGGCAGGGTATAAATCCAATCTCTTCTTCTTCTATACACGACAACTAATTTTGCCTACACTATGAATATTTGATTACAGATACTGCAGAATCTGGGGATTTATACTGGGAAAATTTCTTCTTCTTGTTCTTCGGATTTGGTATACGTCATTAAATCCAGTCTGGAATTGTAAGATGTTCAATACTACTATATTGGTTCTTGGCTTCATAGCTGCTCTTGAGCGAATATATGCAGGTAAATATACACAATGTACTGTTCCTGGGTCTCTCCCTGAGTCCTGTTGACAGATACGCTCTGAGAATGTGATGCTTGGAACTTAATTCCTAGGCAAGTGGGGCCCAGTTCAGTTTTGGACCATAGAGCAGAGGTGGAAGTAGAAGAGACTTAAGCCTTCCCCTTGGAGTCATTTTCCTGGTGTGAAATGGCCCCAGGGAGTTCCTGTTCGTCCTGTTGGGGAAATTTACATGTAGCCCATCGGTACATATAAGCTTCTCCAATGGTGAAATCAGATCTAAAAATGTTTTCCTTTGTATATTATGCTAGCAACATGGCTGCCAAATGGTGGGAAAATGTGGCCATGAAGATGGTCTGTAACCAGGGCTTTTTTTGTAGAAAAAGCCCAGTAGGAACTCATTAGCATAATAGGCCACACCCAACAGCAGAAACTCATTAGCATATTAGGCCACACCCCTGACAGCACAATTCATTAGCATATTAGGCCACACACCCCATGCCTTCCCTTGGCTTGCCTGGGCCCCAAGCTGGCCCTTGGACAAGCCGGGGAAGGCACGGGGAGGCATTTAAATGCCTCCCCATCCTTCCAGCCCCCCCGCCCCCCGCCTCAGAGTCACCGGGGGTCGCTCTCCAGGCCTTCCCTCTGTACCCATGCACACAGAGGTTTTGGCTGTAGTGGGCGTGGCCAACTCTGAAGGCAGCCGGAACTCCGTTCCTGTGCGTTCCTGCCCAAAAATAGCCCTGTCTGTAACAGACCTGGGGAGATCAAATGGCAACTTCCCATCCTGGCTTGTTCAACTCCCACTTTGAGTCTAAGTTGGGATATAAATATTTTGAATAATTTTTTTAAAATGCTTGAAAATAGCCTTAGAAATTCCCACTTACTTTTTATACCTGTGTTACAGGGCTAATCTTTTCCATGTTTTGTTGTGATTTTTTAGGTTTTTATGAGAAAAAAGAAGCACATAACATAAATACAGCAAAGGAAATGATTCCTAGGCCAAACTGGTTTATGTCAGGGACAGCTTTTGGCAGCCTTCTGCTTCTCACATTATGGATTTTTGGAGAAGTATCTTTAGTTTCTAGATGGGCAGTGAGTGGACATCCACAGCCTGGACCAGATCCTAATCCACATGGGTAAGGGACTGTTGTTCTGACATTCTTTTAAAACAGTCAAAACTGAGAACCATAGAGTTCGGAATTGTGTGTTTATGGATCCTATTCAAATATTGGGATTAAACTGAGCCGATCTCCTCAGAAGATGCTTTGGATTTTCTTTAAGGGACTGAACAGAAATTTCCTGACACATTCTTTTCTGGGATGTCTTTAATTTTTATTCCTCTTTGAAATAACTTTTTGTTCTCTGTTCCATTATTTTTGGACAATATGTACTCATGGACAATGGATGCTGAATTTTAGAAATAGAGTCTGACTTGTAGAATTCTGTAACTAGTGCAAAGTGTGGATAGTGCCCTCCATAGATCATAGAGAGTCTTAAAAATAGACATCTAATTTTCTTCTATGTTTCAGTTCTTTGTGATTCAGTAAACTATTTTATCAGTTGCATTGATTTGTCTCAAAATTTGAATGTTTTTCTCCTACCTATCCTTCAAAAAGCTCTGCTGTCAAGTATTCATGTAGTTAATTAATTGGTTTTAAAGGAGAAACTGAGGTATTTCTGAAATAACTAGAGGTGAGAAAATGTGGAATTTGCTGCCAGAGGACATAGTGTTGTACGCATTTTATGAACCACTTTGTACTCTACCACTGCCTAACAGGTTTGACTTGGTAGGTGTGCTTAGCACTTCCATAATGCATATCATTCTGACATCATGAATGTATTCAGGTATTAACTTTGGTTCATTTGTGACTGTTGTTTGAATGCATGCTGGGAAGAAGGCTGAAATGCCGATACACAGTTATGCTACCCATGACCTTGCTTGTTCTGGCCAGCTACAACTGCGCATGTTTCTAATGTGAGTTAACCTAGCTAGAATGAAGAACAGTAAGCACTCTGTAACCATATCAGTTATATAGATACAACATGCAACTTCATAGCTTCCGAAAGAAAAGTGTATTGTTCTGTTAGGAAAAGAAGAACTCTGCCTGGGAACAACCCCCCCCCCCCCAGGTCTTAACCCAATGGGAAATAGGTGATGAAATTTGACAATGTTTGATGGAACCAATAATTCTGTTCTATTTCTCTGATGTAATGTGAAGTATAAAATGCTATTTCACCCATTGTAACACTTGAAGAATCTGTTAGGTATTCAAGGTTCCAAAACCTTTGAATCTGTATTCTTCCTTATTAATTAATAATTTTTGTTTGTTTGTTTCCAACTCTACAGGACTGCTTTTGTGTGTTTTCTCAAATTGGCCTGGGCAAACACAATCAGGGACAGAGGTTCTGTCTTACAATAGAGATGGCCACAGGAATAAACAGCTTTAAGAGGGGATTAGATAGATTCATGGAGGATAAGTCTATCGATGGCTACTAGCCATGGTGACTGGGGGTAACCTCCATATTCAGAAGCCAATTAACCCCTGAATCCCAGAGCCAGAAGGCAACATCAGAGAAAGGTCTCAGCCTCTATGTCCTGTTGTTGGCTCTCCAGAGGTACTGGTTGGCCACTGTGTGAGACAGGATGCTGGAGTAGATGGACCACTAGTCTGATCCAGCAGGACTTTTCTTATGTTCTATGACAGGGTAGCCCAGCCCTCATTGGGTTAAGCAAAACACTAAGTTAACTTTTATTTATGGTATGAACATAACACCGAAGAAAGTAAGATATAAGTAGCGTTTCACATCCATTGAACTTAGGTCCTATTCCTGCAACTGGGATCCTTTGGGTACAAATTGGCTATTTTCAGCCTTCTCTAAGTAGCTCTTCTGCAGTTTCACAGATATCCCCCCCCCCCATCAACTCCCCAGCTGCCAACTCCCAACTGCTGTTCTTAACTGCTATTTTCCAACTGTCACTCTCCCAACATTCCTTTAGCTCTCATTGGTTGCTCTTAGGAAGAGGCAGAACCTACCTTTCTGGCACAATGAGCTTCAAAACTTCCTGGTCACAATTAATTTTGTGAATACTCTGAGTACTTGACAACTCTTGTCCATTTCAAACTTTGGTAGAATTCCAAAACTTAACCCACTGAACAGTGACTGACAGTACAGTCCTAAGCAGAGCTACACTCTTCTAAGTCCATTCAAACCAGTGGGTGTTGAAGGATGTAACACTGTTTAGGATTGCAGTGCTAAGGGCATAACTTCACCTGGTTATTCCAGTTTCTCTCCATTGCTTTCGCACTGTCTTTTTTCTTCTTTTTATAGGCTTCCTCATCCTTTAACTTGGCAATGATAAACATAGATCAAGTACAGATCTACTGCTGACACAATAAACTGGAAAATCCTCCATGTATAACCTCCAAATATTTGGCTTGGACCTAGAGACACTTTTGCTTAGTGTATGTGCAGCCAATTTTGGTAGTTTATGGAGTCCTGCTGTCTATATGATGGTTCTTCCTTTGAGGGGGGGTGTAGGGCTGCCACTGGAAGGGAAATTGAAACTGTCTTGTGTGCAAATAGAAACAAACTTAGCCTCTCTAGATCCAAAGAATTTATGTCAAAATATATTTATTTTCTTATAGGAAAAAGAACTAAAGTTTTAAATATAAGTATTTTTAACAAGTTTAAACCATTTAAGTATTTTCTTTCCATATTTATGCTTACTGGCCATTTAAAGGCAGGATAACATTAGACAGAATTTGTCTTGCATATTATTGTATCCTGGCCAAAAATGGAACCCAATATAGAGCTCATGGGATTGAACAATGAGGCCCTGCAGTTAGGACTGGAGTTGATTATCAATTAATTCCCTTCAGTTCTCTGGGGTAATATAAATAGGCTGCATCCTGGGACACATTTGGGAGCACAGGCAAAACCTGTTTTCCTCTTGTCTTATGTCATAATATTGAGAACTTTTCTAGTGCAATATTATAAACTTCAAATGGATAGGAAGTATTTGGCAAGTTTTATCTAATCATACAGTACTGATTGTCCAAGTGCTTTTCCAGTTCCTACCGCATTTGCTTCCTGTGGCAATCATCCTCAAAAGTCCTGCCACTCGTCCAGGGCTCTGAACCAATCCTTTTAATTTAGGCCTCCTGGAAATCCAAGTGATTATCAGCCAGTCAGAGTCCATGGAACTCCACTAGATGGGAGGGAGTCAACCATCCTCAGCCTAAGAAGGGTGAAGAATTATTTTTCTTCATACAGGGATTTTATGGTTCTGGATAACAGCGTCTGCTTAGCGAGGTTTTTTACTTGGCTTTTAGTTAGGGTTTGGGGTTGACTGGTGGGGGGACACCTTGTTTTAGTGTGACATAAGAACATAACAAGAACACTGCTGGATCAGACCAGTGGTCCATCTAGTCCAGCCTCCTGTTTCACAGCAACCAACCAGTTCCTCTGGATGTCAAACAACAGGGCACAGAGGCTGAGGCATTCCCCTGATGTTGCCTCCTGGAACTGGGTATTCAGACGTTTACTATGTAAGAAGTATTCTTTTTTGTCCAATCTAAATCCACCGCACAATGCCCATCAGCTTCATTGGATGCCCTCAAGTTCTAGTATTCCTGGAGAGGGAGAAAAATTTCGCTTTGTCAGTTTTCTCCACCCCATCCCCATGCATAATTTTATAAACCTCTATCATTTGTAGGCAGTTGAGATTTAAAGAATCTATAGGAGAGGTCAGAGTGGGGGACTGGGCATTCTTCAGTCCAGATGGCAGTTGCCTTTAGAGCTTCCCTCTCTTACCTGCCACCCCACCACATTCCTCTCTCCCTGGAAGAAAAACAGTGTAGTGGAGCTTAGTTTTGGCTTGGGACCTTTCCCCCCAGCTGTTCAGTACAAAAATGTGCTAATATTCTCCTCTCTCTTTTGTGTCAATGTACAGAGGTGCAGTTCTTTTGGGGCTAGCTCACGGGCTGATGTTTTCCTTTTGGTCTTGGTCTCCCTTTGCCCTTTGTGGTTGGTGCCTTATAGGTAAGAATAAATTTTGTGCATACTTCATTTTGCTGTAAATCCTCAAGCCTCTTAAAGGTACGGAGTGAGACTTGCTGTTCTCACCTACTATATAGTCCTTGTACGTGATGTGTTACTTGAGAAGCTGGGAACGAACATGGGCCATTTCAAGTTTCCCCCCTTTCTTGGGATGCATGAGACTCTTAATTTAGGCTAATTTTGCCGACGTGATGTTGATACTCCACAACAAGGAATTCAAAGCCTTGCATGTTTACCTGCACTCCCAGAGAACCTTTGCTTCCATTTTGTTTTTTTCACTACAACGAAATAAAATGTAAATATTTCCTTATTTAGTAGTTAGCAGAAATCAACTACATTTTGTTAGGTCAGGGGCAGGAAAACACCAATTAATCTTTTACTGTGATAATTGTTGGAACTGAAGCCTGCTTGGAAACCTTGATCCATAGCCAGTTTATTGTATACAAGTGAGGGGGTAGAGAGCCCAGACATTCTTCAATTACATGTTGTGTGACCCTTTAATAAACTGGCAACACCATACTCATTTGGTAGACAGTATTCACTTGCAGATGGACGGGGGCAATGTGCCAGTTCTTCTGAACTTCTCAGCAGCTTTGGTACAGTGAATTAATAAGTGCTGGATAAACTGCTCGCAGGATGTTTTTGAACTCAAAACACTGAGCTCACAATTGAGCTATGAGGAGAATGAGGAATCACTCCCCCCCCCGTCCTTTCTCTTTCTAGAGCATCAAAAGACTCCCTGATTAATACGGCAGGGTCGAATTTTATTTTAAATGGTATCTCTCAGTTTCCCGACACCAATGAATTTACATATGTTTCTATGTGAGGCTGCAGTGTAGTAGATTACGGTATCTGCTCGCCTTTCACATTTCCTTTTATTAGTAAATTTTCCATCGGCTTTAAAACTGAAAGCGACCACCTCTCACTTGAAGTTAATTTGGTCTGTAAAAATAATTTCTATCCTAATGACCTTTCTATTTTACAAAATAACGCTGAGCACACATTGTGGAAAAGAAGGTGGACATCCACCGTAGAGAACAAATTATGCATTTTACTAGAATCAGATACAGCTTCTACTCTGAAGCAGTGTTTAACCTCGTAAAGATCTCCCATAGAATCTCTTTCTTATTACCACCAATTAATAGACTTGCTTGACTCTCTTGCCAAACCTACAACTGCAGTTTCCTATAGTCCCATGTCCTGGTTTGACTCAGACTGTTTATCAGTGAAAAAACCTATAAGGTTCACATATAAGGAATTTCAGTTATCGAACAATCCTGTTAAATTAAAACAATATCAAGATCAAAATAAACTCTACCAAAACTTAAAGGATATTTCTAAAATTAATTTTCCCCCTGATGGGTTCCTGTCAGAGAATGAAGATATCCTTCTTCCATCTTGGAGCTATACTGTAATATCTACCTCATTCTCCAAGAGAGATGGTTTAGAACCACTCCTTCCATTTATTCACAACTCAGGAAAAGTGGGAAAGGGCAAGCAGACTGTGTGAGGCAAAGCACCCTGATGTTCCCCCACACAATAATGTGAATATTAGCCGGCCTGCTCCGGCTTGCAGGTGTGCAGAATTGGGCCTTCCTGCCGCCTCATCTCCTTCAAGGCTGAATTAAAGAATGTGGTAATTGCCTAATTGTGAGAACCTGTGTTCATTTCTGTAACTAGATGGGAGGGGGGAAGCAGGAGTGGATATCGTCATCTTCTGGAGGGTTCCACCAAGCAAGCTCCCTGATTGGGTTTGGGAGACCACCTGATGCCAGATGGCCAAAAACTATAATTAAGCCATAGACGAGAGGGAAGCCATGCTTACTTTATAATTCAGCTGGGCAGTGGCTCTGATCATGCCAAGCCCCATCACGATGGACTGCTACATAGACACACTTAAGACAACACTTAAGCCTCTAGCCTGGAATCTGATATTCTAAAAGGTGTGCCATCTAATATGAGATATTAAAGTATTAGATAGAGAAGTTAGCTTTTCTTATTTTTTTGCTGCAGGATTGTAGGGACTGTGTTGCCTAGTGATGTCTTATTTCTTACAGTGTTTAATAAACCTTCATATATATTTTACCCAGGTCTGATTTCTTGTGTGCAGATAGCCTTGAGGACCCACAGGTGTGAGCACTGCTCGCTTGCCCAAGGGGTAGTGACACAGAGGGACCCAGGCTTGGGTCCTTGCCAGACTGAATACATATATGACAATGTTAGTTGGAGGCAAATTCTGTAGCTAAAGAAGCCATTCTTAGAACAAGCTCTCACACAGTTAAATAGGGATTTGTGTCTATTGAAGGGTCTTCTCATTGGTGCCATGCAGGTGCACGATAGAGGACCCAGACATTCTTCAACGATGTGTCCTAACTGTGACCCTTTTTATTCTATTTTATCTTTATAAGATGCCTGACCACTGTGTTTATCTTCAGGGGCCCTGCTTCAGGGCCCCTCACCACCTGAAATTAGACAACATCCTGAGAAAGGGCCTTCTGTTTTGACGGTGTTCCCTCTCTGATTCTCATTGACTATTCTGCCCTTCGATGTGTTATGTTTTGTCTATTTTTCATTGTTTTACTTATATATTTTCACGTTTTGATTGTTCGCCGTCTTGGGAACCTGAATCGGGTGGAAAGGTGGCATGAAAGTGTTTTAAATAAATAAAACAGCCCTATGAAGTGGCTTAGACTGAAAGGTCATGACAGGCCTTAGGTCATTGTGGCAAAGCCGGGACCTGAATGAGGCCTACTTAAGGCGGAACATACCTGTGTGTGTGTGTGTGTGGAGTGGAATGCAGAAACATTTGGGAAGTTTTTGTTGTATTGGTTTTCCAATTTTACTGCTGTTTACCATGACTCTTATTTTATAGGAATGTTTTTATAACAGGATAGGCAACTATCAGCTGAGCAGCAGCCCTCTAGATCATTTTGCTTTGCACATGGGGCTGGTCTTCCACATAAGTAACTGAGACAAGCCCTGCAGCTTAGGGCCAGCAGAATGGGAGAAGTCTTATGCTTGTCATTACCTCCTGGACCTGCAGAGTCACTAGACAGGCCAGAGGTGAGACTCTGAGGTGCTGGTGGCAGCACTGCCGGACTTTGTTTGCTCCCTGTGTGTCTGGCCAAGTTTGGCCCCCATCTCTCCCCAACCCTTGTGTTTGTCTCCACACCAACATCATCACGGGCAGATGTTGCCTGCTTCTGTTTTATTATATTAAATGGGAGTTATGGTGTTATAATGCTATTATGTGATATTTATTGTTGGTTGTGGCCCCATGAAATATTTTGGTGCAGTGGGAAAACAGAGTGATGTTCTACAACTCACCATCTTTTTTTTGCCCCTTTATAGGTGCAGCCGGAGCTGCAGGTCTTCTGAAGTTACCAACATGGGGGGCAGCTCTTGCTGGCGACGTCCTGGCCATCTTTACTATGTGGACGTGGCCTCGTATAACTGGGAGCTTTGTTAGTTGTTTGCATCCTGTAAAAGTAATGACTACAGCAGTGCTTGTGTACCTGCTGGGAGTGTTCTTCTGTGTGTGGTGTACCGCTTATAAGTTTGTACCTGGTGGAACTTATGCTCGAGAAAGGTCTGATGTTCTTTTAGGTATGTTTGTTCTCATCCAAGAGAAGCTGTCAAATCTTCTTCATTTGAACTCTCATCAACCATAAAACATAACTTAGCGTTTCACAGTCTTTTCCTGTTTGCTTTCTCCACTTTGTTGATATCCATAGTTTAAAAGAACGCAGAAATTTAGATGCTTTCTGTGTTGTCAGGTATGCAGAATTTTTAAAATACAGCCACAGAATAAAGGGATGACCACTAGATTCTCTGTGCGTGTATAAGAACTGGATTTTGGGATTAACAGGCACTAGGACTGTGAATCTAACCATTGTATAGCCATTTTAGATATGATCAACTACTGAAGAGATGTCAGAGAGGATTAGAAAGGGGATGAAAAAACAACAACAAAGGAGAATGTATAGTTCTATTAATCAACTCCTTGGATATGTACATAGCTTTAATTTGGGTGAACATTTTTTTCATAAAAGAGGGGAAAAGCTGCTCCTGAGTTACCCTTGTTAATTAATTAATTAATTTTATCAAATTTATATCCCGCCCTCCAATTTATATAAATGGTTGAAAATCTGGGCTGTATTCAAACGATGCTTTATAGAAACCCTTGATTGCTAAAACCCCCTACCCACCCCCCAATATTAATCTTCCAATGTAAATGACTTACTGAAACCTTAACGATGGATTAAAATCAGTAGAGCTTCAATATCCGTGTGAGTGTGTGTGTGTGTGCACCTGGAAGTCATGGCGACCTCTGGTGACTGACCCCCTATTGGGGGCCTGGAGGATATTCAGAGAGGTGGCTGAATAAAGGCTGCCCCTACCTCCTGCATGTCAACGAGGTCTCCCATCCAAGTACTCGCCAGAGTACTGCTTAGTTTCCGAGATCTGATGAGATTGGGCTTGCCTGGGCTGTCTTGGTCAGGGTAAAATCAGCAGAGCTTCAAGAAGCAAAGCAAAGGTGGCCCTAGCTTGAATTTCCCCTGATTATCCAGTAGAATAAGTTGGATTCAATTGGCTAAGGAGACGGAAGAGTGGTTTCTAGACCACAGCTGGGTTCTAAAGAGTTTGTGTTCACCCCCGATCTTTTCCATCCCCTCAGGCTATAGCTCCTCATCACCTTCCTTTTCCCCAAAATCTCCCGAAGTTTGGGGAATCCCCTGAAACAGTACCCAAGGCTCTGCAAAAGGAGGCACCAAGAAGGAAAACATTCTGTGCACACACACCCATGCATGTGGAGGAGCTTTCAGCTCACACAAGAGAATTCCTGGCTGTGTTTAGATCTTGTATTTCCATTCTTTATCACTTAGCTAGTGGCAAATTTCTTGTTTCTTCTGGTTTCTTGCAGGTGTGGCTGTTACTTCCTGTTCTCTTCTCGTGTCTATTGTACTGTCTTTCTGTTATGGCATCTTATATAGGGAAACACCCTTTTCATAAAAGTAAGGCTGTAAAAAATAACGCATTGCGAATTTGCAATCATAGGTATGGTTCCTTCAAGACATGTAAAAGTCTGAAGGTCATTCAGTTCAAACCCTATGCATGTTTATCAGAAGTCTCAGTTTCAGGCTCAGCCTTTTGTATTAATTACAAGGGATGCAGAAGAAGTGGACAAACCTGTGACATACCAGTTAACATTTTAGAATAGAACACTGAAATATCTGATGATCGGATCCTTATGGAATAGATTCAAACTAGTAACAGATGGCTTAGGAACTTTACTTTTCGTCAGACCTCCCCAAACACTTTTTAAAAGGATAGAGCTGCACTCCTTGATAGATATGTAGTGTTCACCTTTTAAATTGATTCTGGAATATGAAATGAAAATCGTAATTGTTTAGTTTAAGAAACCAAAGGCATTCTACAAAATGTCGCCTCCAGCAACATAGTGGTAAACAGAAACTGACAGCAGCAGCATAAGATGCAGAAACTATGAGGAGACAGGATACATCTCTGGATAAATTCATGTTAAAACGTAATAAACAAACAAATCTGGCAACAAAAACTGACACATAAATCTATTGAGATGTCAGAGTAAATTAATTTCTCAGCTACTGTGAAACATGATATACATCTTCAGAGGTTTCTCTCCAGGCTCTTACAATACAATACTAAACACAGTTATATCTTTCTAAATCCATTGAAGTCAATGGGCTTAGAAGGCTATAACTCTACTTAGGACCGCATTGTTACTCATATTCTGATGTTGGTTATCGCAATAAAGTCTGATCTGAATACTTTTGTTACTAAAACACTGAGAAATGAATTCAACTTTGAACTGTATGTTGATAAGCTGTAATGGGAACCTAAAATATCTACAAAAGGAGTAATGGAGGAATTGGGAAGCATAACATATTAGTTATAAATGTTGACTTAGAAGATAAAGGGATAAAGTGTGTGAAGTGGGAATGAGAGGGCTATGCAGGCTTCATTGATCTGCCTTTGCACAAAATTGCTTTTTCAGCATGCCCAATTTGTCCTTTTCCTTACATTTATTTTTAATGCATCAGCACTGAACCAGGATTCACTTTGCATTGCTCCAGGTTGCAACCTTCATCTGCGTTCTGACAAGATAATTAATTCACAGTGTCTTGGGATGAATGAACTCAAGGTTTGGCTATATTTGCGTTTTCTTATTATCAAATGTGAAAAAAGTGTCATTTTTCATTATAGGAATCATCATGCTATTTATTGTCATAGACATATTACTTGATGGTAAAAAAGACCTTCATTGTCTATTTGGGATAAAAAGTAGTCAGAAGCCCCTCTTCAAACAAAGTGAAAAATTCGTCAAATTATGTAAGTGTGGCTTTGCTTCATTCCCAAAAACAAATTGTTAAAAAATTTCATTCCTAAAACCTTTCAGTTTAAAAATGTGAATGTGTACGATTAAGGTGATATTTGGATGCTTTACCCATAAATACAATATCAGGGCTTAGATTATGCTCTTGAGATCAGGGCCGGCTTACCCACTAGGTGAACTAGGCATTCGCCTAGAGCGCCGGGTCCTGGATGGGGTGCCGAACTGTGCCTCCCCACCGCCAAAAGCCTGCATGCTATTGCTGCTCCCAGCCACGTGGCATGGAGGGCGTGAAAGGGGAACGCAAGGCCACCTCGCCTTCCCCCTCCGCCCGGGGTCGGCTTTTGTAAATCTAAATGTGGGGTGTTTTGGTTTGGGTGCCCGGAAACCTCGCCGCCGCCTCCTCGCTCGCCTAAAGGGGGAGAGAAGTAGGACTTCCTTCTCTCCAGGCTCTGCCTGGAGGTTGGCAACCCCATAATTGGGTGCATGGGTGGTGCCAGAAGGTAGCCCGCCTAGGGTGCAAAAAAACCTCGGGTCGGCTCTGCTTGAGATCCCTCAGATACACACTACCCATAATGCTTGAATTACAGCTACTATCTCTTAACTTAAAATGCATCTGGTTTTCAGGTGGTGAGTTGGCCTTCAACTTGTATGGGCATTTCAGCCTCTGGGTGGGTGCCCCCCCCCCCGTGAAGCCTTTCCTGCGGCTTAGCTGATCGGCAGCCACGCCCACAGGAAAGCTGTACCTGCTGCTCAGCTGATTCGTGGCCAGGTCAAAAGGGAACTCCTGTCAGCCATTCAGGTGATGAGTGGCAAGCCCAAAGGAGAGCCCAACCACCACTCAGCTGTTCCACAGCAAGAGGAGGGTTGCCAACCTCCAGGTGGTCACCAAAGGCGGTAACGCACCATGTATACGCTTAATAAACAATGAACGTTAGAACCAAATTATACTTTTGTGATTGTTATCACATAGTAATCAAAACAACGCTTATAGACGCATCATGACTGAGCGCACAGCATAAACACAGATATAAATGGTGTAACAACAGTCTCCAAAACTCCGACCACCATAACATTTCAGGCTTGACCTTGACACTGCTGATATAACTTAACAAGACAAACAAAAGTCCAAAACCCTTTTGTGTTTTATCTTATCACAGTGCTGGTCAATTGACACGAGGTTCATGACTGACGCTATCCAGATCAGCTGTTTTGGTTTCTTCTTCAGAGTCAAAAAGTCTGTGCCGGAACCAAAATGAATTCTTATAATGCCTTCAATCATTTAAGTGTCGCGGAGTGCGCTCCTTGCATCTCCAGGTCACCGTTGGATTCTAGTAGTCCAATTGCACCCTGCTGAAGTCCCACTACAGACTCAGGTTTAGTGGTTAACTATATACAGTGCAGTTTATTTACAAGACACAGCTCTCACCGTCAAAGTGCTTCGCCAAGCAGTCAACATTCAAGTCAGCACACAATGTACAGTACATTCACAGTTATATACACATAATGACCAATCATATAACTGCTGAGTCACTCTGATAAGACATCAGCATTGCACCAGCCAGAATTGGTTTGCTCTGGTCTCCTGGACTGACAGTTACTCTGACATCTGTCACTTTAGATTGGCATGATCTGTTTACATTGCTACCCATGTATCACACATGCTGAATACTTACATATCCCAACATTAAGATCCGGATAGCGTTAGTCATGAACCTCGTGGCGATTGACCAGCACTGTGATAAAGCGTTATTTTGATTACTATGCAATAACAATCACAAAAATATAATTTGGTTCTAATGTTCATTGTTTATTGAGCCTATACACAGTGTGTTACTGTCTTTGGTGATTACTCTGTTTTCCTGTTGTATGTTTGCCAACTTCCAGATGGTGGCTGGACATCTCCTGGTATTACAACTGATCTCCAGGCAACAGAGATCAGTTCACCTGGAGAAAATGGCTGCTTTGGAAGGTGGACTTTATGGCATTATACCCCACTGAAGTCCCTCCCCTCCCCTCCCCAAACCCCTCCTTCCTCAGGCTCCACCCCCCAAATCTCCAGGTATTTCCTAACTCTGAGCTGGCAACCCTACCTCTTCTGACTGAGGGCTACGAGTGTGCCAAGGAGCCTCTGGGGTACAGGGGCTACCTGGCAGAAGAAGAGATGGCTGCACAACCTGTTGTTTTGGAGTGATACACAAGGAACATCAGTGGATGTTTGCATGCTCTGACATATTTGTCATGTGTGGAGAAAAATCCCATTCCTACACTTATTCCCTTATTATTTTAACCTCTCTTTTAAAAGCCATGCTTTCCTGACTAAAGCATGCAATTCTAAGCAGAGTTATATCCTCATAAGCCCACTGACTTCAATGGACTTAGCAGGATGTAAGTCTGTTCAGGATTGTACTGTAAGTTTGATTTAAGGAAGAGAGCAAGAAGAAGATTCAGATGTAGCTAGATGAAGCAAATTTCCAGAGAAATGGGTGGCAATATATGGCAATCCAAAAAGGCTTGCACAAGATATAGAGAGTGATCAGTCCACTGATTAAAATGAGACAGAGAGAACACATTATACCGCCTCTGCAGAAATCTGCCATTTCATGGTATTTCAAAAGTTCTGCTAGGCAGATCTGCCACTATTCCTG